AGCCACGGTGGCTGGAGGTATTGCGGTCAAATTATCAATCTTTAGGGTGAAGGCATCTACCTTAGCATGGACACTGTCTAGGTCGCTTATCTCATACATTCCTCCTTTTGTCGGTGCTTTCTCTGTAGTACCTTTGTCTGCGTGTCCTCTTTCACTTCCCCACTGATAGTGGTTTTGGGCCATACTTTCAATTAGAGCATAGGCAGCGGTGTAGGATTTGTCCATAAGTGCACCACCTGCGGCAGCGTCTATTGTTAATCTTGTATTGTAGAGGAGACCATTATAGAAGGTGTGGATAATCAACCATTCTTCCAGGCCATGATGTGGGCATAGTCTCATCAGATCTTTGTATCTTTCCCAAGCATCGAAAAGGGATTCGTTCTCCTTTTGTCTAAAATCGCTTATCTGAGATCTTAACATAGCTGTTTTGCTTGGTGGAAAATATCTCGCAAGAAAAACTTTCTTCAGCTCGTCCCATGTAGTGACTGAGTTTGCGGGTAGAGATTGGAGCCAAGCTCTTGCTCTGTCTCTTAGAGAGAAAGGGAAAGACGAAGTCTTATTGCTTCTTGACTGACGCCATTGTTCTTGATTGTATCTGCGTACTGTAGAAATATTGATAGATGAAGATTAGGGTCTTCCATCGACCCACCAGAGAACTGGTTTTGTTGCACAACGGATAACAAAGAGGGTTTCAGTTCAAAGTTGTTAGCCTCGATCGGAGGGGCAGCAATGTTGTTATGTGGTTCATCTTGTGAGGGTATGGCATAGGATTTGAGTGGGCGCGGAGCAGGATTTGCAGCCATTTCTTCGGTTGGTGGAGAAATAGGAGGTTCGAGTGATTGACGAGGTTGAGTGTCATGCAAGAGATGGTACTCTTGAATGCGGCGTCTAATTCTGAGATAACGCTCGATATCGTTGATTTGTATGTATAACGGCTCGTCTTGCGAAGGAGTGTTTGGCATACAAAATTAGAGAAGAAAAGAAAAGAAATAGAGATAGAAAAGAAAGAGAGAAGTTTTTGCTCTAGTCTCTACTGCGTAACAAAAGAGTAGCGATATCGACTTAAATCAGTCCCCGGCAACGGCGCCAAAAACTTGATCGTGGGATTTGTACTTATGTATCCAATGATTCGGACTGCAAGTGCACAGTCTTGTCGAGTAGTTTTAAAAGATATCGAACTACAGAGACTGATGAATCGATCTACCGTTTTCTATTGTTACTATGTAAATCTAAAGCTAATGAATATTTGATTTGGGTTGTAGGGAAACTAATCACTAAATTAAGTTGTATTTTAATAATCAATGAGCTAAATTACCAGTATGCAACAGTCTTACCTCGGGAACTAGCGACCTGTCGGGCGTCTTTATGTTTTCAAAACAGTTTTCAGTAAAACCTATCTAGTTTAAAAACCCTCGTCTCACACTGTCGTTTTGTTGATCTAGGCTATGCAGTTAAGTCCTAACGTACGCTTCCGCCATCCCGCAGGAGTTAAAAACACTTTTTGGAAACTAAACAAAATCTTAATTAACTTTAAAGTGCTTCCGCTGTATTTTAAGCCAATGCCTAATTACTACTGTTCAGTTAAAAGATCTCAAACTTCCGCTTTGTTGATCCTAACCTCTATCTGTTTTTTACTTCCGTAACAAAACAATTTAATGATTTGAAAAATAGTAACTTAGGCCAGAAAAGAAAGTTTCGTAGTAAAAATAGTCCGACTAAGTTACTCGTTCCCTCGATTGATTGACTTTACATACCGGTATAAGGTTTCTAGCCTGACATAATATTAAACCGAATCGCAGAATAATATAAAGGACAAACACATATAAACATAATTATATTAATTAATAAGCAATAAGAATTTGTAAACATAAACCTGGTAATAACTCTGAAGACAGAAGCACTCCTGCACAAATTGTAGGCTTTGCTTCGATCGGAGAATATATTTAACCGTACAGAAGAAAATAATGCTGAAAGAATAATGCTGGAAAGAAATAATTGGGAAAAGAAAATAATGCTGAAAAGAAATAATGCTGAAAATAATATTCTGCTGAAAATAATCTCTAAACTTTTCTCGTCCAAAAAGAAGAACCCTTTCTACTGTGGTCTCTTGCTCTATTTATAGTGCTTGCTTGATTCGTTGCTTTCTAAAATGTAGGAACAGTTTATTTCTTCCTTTGAGAAATAATAGGGCCATTAACTTGTCACGTTCCTTGGTGCTTTGACTGAGTGGGTGAGAGAATGTAGGAACTCGTTGGATTAAGCTTTGAACGTGTTTCTGTCCGTTGGATGAGGAGAATGTGGGGTGATAGGCTGTGATGTTCGTCACACGCAAGTGACGATAGTCACTTGGTCTTCATGGAGTGTGACGTTCGTCACGTCCCCTTGACGGTCGTCAGGGCGTGATTGCTTGTGTGCCACGTGCTCACACTTGTAATGGGCTTTTGGGCTGATTTCTTCTCCTTAGGCTCTTTTACTACTTTTTGCACCTTTTTTTCTTCATTTCTTCAAAAGTGTTCGGCTCAGTGCATATCTGTAAAAATAGAAAAATACCTGCATAATACTTATAAAATAATTTAATTCAGACTAAAGTATGAGAAATATTTGGTGTATATCAAGCCAGAAATATCACATATTTGTGTGTCATCAATTCTCACCCCCTATTTTCTTGTTGTGTTGGCTTTACTCATATGATGCAAATACTCAAGTAGATACTAAGAAGCTTTAGCTAGCGCTGTGTGGAAGATGGCATGTGTCTTCTTTATTTTATTATTTTTTGCATTCTATTTAGTACTTAGTGTCGCTCTGATAGTATAACATTGGAGATGAGATCATTATTTCTTCATTCCACTTAATGTTAAATTATTATGAAGCATATATTTTATTCAATTCGAAGTTAATTCTATTTGAGACTATGATATATTTTTTAAAGTGTTTTATAAATTCCGCTGCGATGTGTTTAAGTTGTGAAAATATTTTATGCCAAGAATGTGTGACACTCTATTGATGAAAATAATCTCTAATTATTTTATTAAATCTGCGTCAGGGAATTAAGGTGTTACACAAACCAAATACATTTAAGACTTATTGTCCAATGCCAACATGACTAATGCAAATGGAGTAATCACACCAATGTTCGACCATTGCAAACTAAGAAAACATAGAACATACACATTAACCGATCCTCTCTATACATGTCAATAATTGGAGCCCTTCAATATATAACTTTGACTAGACTTGACATAGCTTATGATGTCAATAAAGTCTACCAATTCATGACAAAATCTTTGGAATCACATTGGAGTATAGTGAAATGTATTCTTTAATACTTAAGGGGTCCAACTCATTATGGCTTGCTTCTTCTTCCAGTTAGTTATTTGTAGAAATTCTCCTTAAGGGCCTCCAATAATTCATATTGGAGTATGATCTTGATAATAGGAGATTAACTTTAAAATCGTACGCGTATTTTGATCCCAACATGGTCTCGTGGAAATTAAAGAAACAATCCTATGTAGCACGCTCTAGTACTAAAGAAGAGTATAAAACGTTGGCTCATACTACTTATGAGCTTGTATGGCTTGAATCTCTCCTTTTCGAGCTACATGTCAACTATTTAGCCCGAACTCTACCATGAGACAACTAAAGTGTTGTAATGTTGTCTCATAACCCAATCCTCCATATCAGAGCCAAACACATAGAGTTGGATATGCATTTTGTTCTTGAGATAGTTGTAGCAAACAAATTTCAAATTCAACATATGCCTGAAACTGCACAAATAGTTGATGCTCTCACAAAACATCTATCAACCAACTTTGTTTCAAGATTTTCGACTCAAACTTAAAGCTGTTCCCTCTTTGGGGTATTGGAGAATACTAAAAAATAACTACTTTAGATAGAAGAAGCTAGGAAAGTAGTTAATTAACTCTAATGAACATAAGAAGATCTTGGAATATCTCTATGATCTTTCTTTTTTTTTGGGATGTTATGCATTGAAAGAAGAAATTACAAAGCCTACGAAATTTTATTCTTATTATGTTGATCAACAAGCAAGAAATGGATTTAGAAAAATTAAAAAAATCATATACTACCAACTATTTTAATTATTCCAATTATATTAACAGGCTATATAATTACAATACAAAAAAACATTAATATATAAATATTTACACAGAGCTCTCTAGTTTTATGTTATTTTAAAAGAGACAAATCTAGATTGAGTTTTTTAAGAAGGTGCATATCCTTTACTGATATAGTAAATTTCTTGTATAACAATTTAACCAAAATTAAAAGTTTCAAATGCCAACTCCATCTCTTTTTCTTTGTGAGCTTTGCAAACACAGCGTGGACAGTGGAGTGCAAGACAGAGAGTCGTTGGAGTCTGTTAAACCGCTCTCAGAAAATGAGCTTGCATCAAAATTCTGAAATAACAGTCCAAAGAAAATACTAATAATTTTAAAATAAGAAAAAAAATATTATTAGAAAACAAGGTTTTAAATACATGTTGCAATCGCAATACGAGCACTTCTTTTGCAATTTCAGTCAGCGGTCAATTAACTACGATTTCTTTTTCATTATAAAAACAGTGAATAACAGTATCGTTGATATACTTTCTAATAGTGTTTTGTTGCGGCCGTTTTTACGATATTGCTAATAGGGTACCCGAATCATTGGCCAACAAAGATAGCACTAGAAAGAAACTGGTTTGTGGATTAAAAACTGGTTTTGATTCTGCCACACGTCAAATTAACAACCATGCTATAATCATTTATTTTTTAAGAAATATTTTAGCTTCCAAAGAAAATTCCAAACATTCAAGATAACACTTGTGGAGACCTTGTGCTAAACTTTGCTCCACAATTTCAACATCACCATACAAGTTCAATCCAACGGCTCACATTTACTACAGAAAAACAGCCACAATATATACATATACGACTATGTGCATCCTTCACTATTCAAAACCAACCTAAATTTATATTCTAGTTTCAAAGCTAGGAGAATTAATGGCTTCCATTACCATGTTGTCAATTGCTCCAACAACAGGAAGAGTGTTTGCAGCTACAGGTTCAAAGGGTGCAGCAGGTGGAAGCAAGGAAGAGAAAGGATTTCTTGATTGGATTCTTGGTGGTATGCAGAAAGAAGATCAGTTGCTAGAGACTGATCCTATTCTCAAGAAAGTTGAAGGGAAGAATAGTAGAGGCACCACTACTAGTGGCAAGAATTCTGTGGCAGTTCCACAAAAGAAAAAGGGTGTTTTTGAAGGATTGTTTTCCAAGAATTAATTGAAGCAATATATATCATGCAAGTGATTTATCCAGTTGCATGCATATTAATATTACATGTTTATGTTTATTTAGATTTTTATCTAGTTATCTTTTTATTATTATGTTTGTTTTTCTCGTTTATATTTGATAAGAAATATGATTGAACCTAACTCATCTCTAGAAAATCGATTTGTAGGAAGAGAATTGTTCTTCTCTTATAAACACATGTTCATGCTATATAGTATCTGATGTGAGACTAAAATTAGACATCTGGAGTATGGAAATAAATTGTGGGTGACCCAATAGCGGAAACTTGATAGTAAGTAGCCCACCAAATATTAAACCAGACTCTAATATCATGATAAAAAATGTGATTAGACCTAACTCATCTATACAAAACCGACTTGAAGGATGAGAATTGACACCCACTTATAAACACATGTTCGGTTGTATGACGTTAGACTCTTAACAATATTTAACATAGAAGTTGGTTTCACAACAAGTCCATAAAATCTTAGAATAAATTTACAAAGTGAAAATACCATAGTTGTTATTGAAAATAAAAAATACTATCTTTGCTGAAATGAAATGCACCGTTAGAAATCCATGAAAAATGGTAAACACTGATTCTTTTTATATTCAATAAGCAAGCACACCTTTGTGGTTGATAATTTAATCATAACCATCTCAAGAAGCTTCTATAGAATCTTCGTGCGATGTTTTAGTTGAGGAATTTGATCTAGAAAAAGAAGTGTGGATGAACTCAATGCAATCCTCAACAGCAGCTGTTCTATGAGAATCAGCAGACGATCCTGCTGATGCCGATCTTCCTAAGGACGATGAGTCTCGGTGTAAAGATCTCCTCAGAGAGACCAACCGTAAAGCGTTCATCACTCTTTCTGCTAGATCCTTGACGAGCTCAATGGGAGAGAATTCAGATTGCCAAGGAATACGGAATGTGCAGCTCCTGACATGCCGATTTCTAGCCGATTTTCTATTAGAATTTTGTCTCCATGACGAGATTGTTTTCTCATTGTGACTCATTTTGTTGCTTACTGTTTGCATGATGATGCTAATTTTAATATTCTATAGAGAGAAAGAGACCATACATGTGAAGCTGTTGTTGTAAGTTAAAAGTATTGTAGGTGAGAGCTTTGGAAGTAGGAAGTGTGCTTGAGTAAGCAGCAAGTACTTATAGGGATATTTACTTCACTCTTTCTCATGTGAGTATGTTTATCATGAAAAACCTGTGTGAAAGAACAAAGAAAAAATCATCAAAAACAAGTAGAAAAGTGGATTAAGGTAGTGAGAAAACAGACATATTTATATTTAAGTAAAAAAAAGTAGTCCTGTGACTTTGTAGAACATACTTTATGATTTCTGTGCAATGGTGAAGAGGACAAAAGGTATCTAACTTGAGTGAAATCAAAGATAGCAGGAATATTTAGTTTAAAGCAATTGTGTCATCATTCCATTCCTACCTCAGAAGCAAGACATTAAAAAATGAGGAAGGTGGGGCTGCACACCAGTTACTTATTTTACTATAAACTTGCAAAACCAGCACTTGAGTTGTGTTCCATTGTTATTTGTTAATTCTTTCCTCAAGGCTCCTAGTCCATACAAGCCACATCTAAGCCTTTGATCAAGATCATCCGATTGTACACACAAAGTACACTGATTCATAACTCTATCAACTAGTCCAAGCCTAAATTGTATAGACTAAGTATATCCCTCTTTGTTCATGGCTGCCAGGATAAAATACGAGACCAAATACTGTGTCCTTAAGACTGATTGATGGCCATTAAGATTAATGTCCCCTTGCCTACATAAGATCAATTAATGGGATCAATTCCATTGCTCCCTTGTCTCAGACCGACTTAATAATTGCTATTCATATGTCTTAAATGCCCGGTCTGCCTGTTAAAGTGCGGTCAGAAGTAAGAGACGCTAGCTCTGAGCTGGCCTGCTCAACTTGGCCCATTAAGTTTGAACTAGCTTGGTTTTGTCCTAGAATGACTTAAAATCTGGGCGGACACAGATATGTGAACAGTCCCTCAAGCATGATGCATGTTAGAGCGAAATGCTTTAAATGAGAGACCGGATCATACAATGGTCTAGATTTTGAGCTCACTTTTTTCAAGTTTACAAAAATCTAAATCAAAATCAGCATTGAAATTCGATCATCAGATCAACATCAGACAATGCAAATATAGTTGACTACATACAATCACACTGCATACGATCCAAATCCATATTTTAAACTTCGAGAAAAGGTCTAATGTGAAACTTTGAATGTTAATGCAGTTTCTAGGACCTTTGTGTATAAGGAAAGCAAAAGGGTGTCATATAGCATGCTTTAAACTTTGATGCTTTCCAGTTTCTAACAAATATTCCACTCATTGAGTGGAACAGTGTTGAGTCCACACATATACTTGCAAAAGGTCCTAATCAATACTTTGTGTGAAACTTGAGACCGCTTTGGAATTACTTATAAACAACGTGCTGCAATATTTTATTTCTACGCAGCTCTGCAATAGTTTATTTCTATGCAGCTTATCAGGACTATTCTTCTGTCAGAAAATAATTAGCAAATGTGAGGACCACATGCCAAAAGAAAAAGCCAATACTTTGATATTCTCCATTAAGATGTTGGAGTGGTTTAATTATTAACTCGAGCATGAAATGGAGAAGCAAAATGTTTAATAATTAGGACAATATATTTATGTATCAATAGATGTAGGGGTGGCAACCGTTTAGATCCGCCCCTCAAAAACACGCAAAAAACGAGGCCGCCCCTCAAAAACACACAAAAAATGAGGCGGGTGAAATGGATAAAGTTAAGAGTGCATGTCTAAAACTTTAATTCGTCCTATGAAAAAATAAGGGTGAGGCAGGCCTGGGGCACTACACCCCCCTAAAGCCCAAAAATTACAAAAATTAATCTTAATGCCTGAAAAAAAAATGAGTGGGGAGGGCATATTAGAAAGTTCGGGCCTGAAATTTTAGTCTACCTACAAAAAAATACAGGAAAAACAGGCATGTTCGGCGAGTCAAATCCATTTTGCCACTCCTAAGCTGATGTTTACGAAAGCATCATTACAATTTGCTTGCTTACCTCAGGATAAGACTTCAAAATACAAGTAACACCAGTTAAGAGACTATCACTCTACAACAACAACAACAACAACTTCTTTTCCCTCTACCCCCACTTAGAGACTATCACTCTGCAAATTTAATATTTTCAATATAGTATTATCAATATATAGCAAGTACTTTTGTATCAACTAGAATGTAAGAATTTGGAGCCAAGAATAAACCTAATCATATATATATATATATATATATAAGAATTGCTAGCAACATATTATTTTTTAACACACTTTAAAATATCAGTCGGTTTTTTGTTTTTATAAAACGGGTCAATTGTAAAGTGCGTGTTGGAGAATGTGTTCTATGTTGCAAGTATTCCTCAAATATTCATAGATGATGCATGTGTGGTTAATAAACGGAGATCTTAGGACCTTGTTGTTCTGTGAAGTATGTCCTATACCGAAAAATACCACAGGTGGTTTCCACAGCACAGCCTCAAAACTATAATATCACAGAAAATCCTTTAGCAGGATCTTCACAAGTCCCTTTCCAAAATTCAGAAAATTAATCAAGAAATCTTGGTTTATGAGATTATCTCAGCAAAAAGTCGCCGAAAAATAATATATATGTGCTTGCCCTTAACCATGGTTTTAAACCCGTAACAACAATTGCAGCTACAATATAAACTACAAAGTAGCCAATGGTTCAAAGGTGCATTACAAATCCAATACACACAATGAAACATTCGATACAAACACATTCTACTTACAATGACCATCTTCCAGAAGCAACCATACATTGAAATTTCATTAGAATTAATAATTAGCATTCTCTATCGAAACGTTATCAACCTTGTACTATACACGACACATGCATAAAATTTAAAATAGAGTTAAGTTTACAAACATTTACCAAAAAATTTCACGCCTGTTGTTTCTGATTCATGACAAGCAAAACCTCGCCACCACCAACAATGCTAGAATCCAAGAACTCTCTCACTTCATCTTCATCTCGAAAACATTTAGGACCACGAAGATCACTATCCAAGTTATACCAAACCCCATCAATCTTCCTCAAAGCAATCCAATGCCTACCTTTCCAAATCCCTGCAAACCTTTTCACCTGAACATTAACCACAACCCCCATCAAAACATCTTCCGGCGCATCAAGATCAATCGAGGAACCTCCATTTCGCCGATCGTGCCAAACTACACTCTTCCCTTTCTCTTCCAAAGCAGCTATTAGAACATTTATATCATAGTTTCCAGTCAATGCATTATGATGGGGTTTGAACAAGAAAGAAAACGGTGTCCATGAATCAGTGCTGGAGGTGTCATCAAGTGCTAGTTTTTCAGAAATTGCATTCAAATTTGCTCTAGTAAAAGCATCTTTTTGCTGATTGAATGGAAATCAAAATCAATAAACAGACCCAGAATCAGAAACAGGCATGATTCAATCAGATTATTGAAAAAGATTCGTAATTTATGGGGTTTAGGAAATGGGTGATAGTTGAATTGGATAATTGATGATTGAATTGAAAAGGGTTAGAAGAGAAGAAGAAGAAGAAGAAGTACCTGAAAGAGTGAATTGAGAGTATGTAAGAGACAGAACTGTAATCTTTGTCTTTCGTGATAGACATTTGAATTCGGAGTTGACATTGTAGATTAGGTTTTTTCTGTGTTGCTGGAAATTTGATGCACAGTGTCAGTCACTATAAGGAAGCTTGGTGAAATAGGTATTGAATTTGATTTAGACCCAATCTTGTAATTTCCAGACAAAGACCACAAGAGAAATGAGTTTTATTGGAAATGTTTAGTTCTCTTCTTTATTAAGAGGAATCTATTGGATTTTAGTATTTTGGTTTAAATAATTAATTATAGCATGGCAATATATTAATTCTTTATTTTAGTTTCTATAAGTTTTTTTCTATTTTGATCATTGTAATTTATTTATTTATTTAGTTTTTTATTTTACTATTTACAAAATTAATTTATATTAAAATTGATCCTTGTAATAGGTAGAATATTTTATTTTAGTCTAGTGTGTTACTAAAGACTAAAATGAAACAATGTAGAATATTTGAAGGGAAGGAAAGTCTTAGGAAATCAAAGGCTTAAGTGTCTGGTGTGTGTCGTCTAATTTAGGGAAAATGTGATATTCAAAACATCTCTTCTTTAATATATGTGTTATGTTTCGTTCTAGAATCAGAAATATAATAGGATAAGTGATAATAATAGATCAAAGCTTTTGGTGTGGTGGAGAAGGGGTGATAGTCCTCATGTACTAAGAAGGTTCTGGAAGAATTTCAATTCCTTCGTAGTGGTCGGTCGGGGACACTATGATCGGCCCTGAAGAGTTGCCCCTAATCCCGTGTCTATGCGCATCAAGGTTGGGGTTTGGCGCTTTAGCCTCAGCAGCCGATCGCTCTCTTATCTCTGGGAGAGTGGGAGGAAACGTTTAAGTTTCTGAGGGATTCATCTTAAACGTTCCATATTTCAAACATCTTTTTGGAATTTCCATCATTATGACTCTTGAGAACCGAAACACTCGAGTGTTATGTGTGAGCGATTGGACACGTTTGGTAAAGTCTACTTTTTTTTCCATGCTATCATAGGATTCTTGAAGATTCATCGTCGTACTTTCTTTGAGTCATTCTCCCTGTTTAGTAGTTATCATCCCTTTTTTTGACATTTTGCTTTAGTGCATCAAGAAAGGTCATATAATGGATAAAAATCACATAAGAGTACCAAGAAATCCTATATGAATGATTTATCTTCTTGGGTTGATCCTGATTATACTTCAACCATTTATGTATTTGCTAAAGATGGTAATCTTGATGAAGCATTTCTTGAGGTAGGTCCATCTTGGATTAGGGTGTTTTGACCCCTGATGAAAACCATCGCATATGTAGTGAATATGGCTATTGTGTCATTCCCGTTAACGAGTGTCTTTTA